ATATTGATTATTTTTAATCTATATATATCGATTAAATGCTATATATCGATACAAATCTGCTTAAAAATTTTCCTGATATATATTAAAAATCTAAGAACAAAACAGAATTATACTAAAATATTAAACTTTATAAAAACATAGTTTTATTAATAACCTATAAAGTAAGTAGATTAGTTAAGAAAGATACTTAGAATTTTACAATTAGATAACATACTTTAAAATATATAATAATTTAATAAATATATAGAATAAAGACTAATATTAAGTTAGATAATACTTAAATATATAGAAATTAAGTAAATTCATCTAATATAGTATAGAGATTAGAATGGTTAAATAAATAATTTTCTGGTAGATTACAAATATAATAACTAATATAGAATTTACAGACAAATTACTTAATAGTAATATAAGCTATTAGGGTTAGAAACAGTACTACAAGCTATTAGAGTTAGGAACAGTACTACTAAAATAAGAAAAAATATGACAGATTGTTGTTTCAGAAACATTAATATTATATAATATTATTCAAAGCAAGTAAGGTTGTTTTAATTTGATATTGGTCAAAAGTGACATTTGAAAATATTATAAAAAAAATTCAGATATTAATGCCAGGTTGGTTAAAGAAATATATTAATTTTTATTTATTATTTTATTGTTTATTTTTAACAATTAGAATTTTATTAATCAAATGTTTTTATTTAATTTTTAAAATAAGTCTAAGGACTAAAAGGTGATTTGATTTTCTATTATGATACAATACAAAACAATTAAATCATATCATATAAAAGAAGAAATTTGAACCAGTTTTATAGAGAATTTGTAAGGAAAAAGAAAAAATTTTAAGCACAATTTTGATATCTTTTTCTCATTGTCACCAACCATTTTATCCTTATTTGTAAACACTTTTTTCTTTTTCTTACAACCCATATACCATTACTTTAGTATTTTTTTATTAAACTTTAATACTCTCACAACAACATACAATTCAACATATAATGATGCATTGACACAACCACAGACTTTACCTATTAAGGTAATATTACCTTGACAGATGTATTCCAAATTGGATGAGTAACTTTCTTCAATGGGATTGGTACTGTCATTAGAGAATCTTGACTTATCTCGGGTCACAAACATCATGATATAATGGTTTTCATAGAGCATTTCAGGTGTTATTCCTCATGATCCTAAGATCGGGTATACTTATAACATTAGGAATTTTGTTTAACTTTGTTTAACAAATATGCTATAACAGTCACATTCAAACTTTCTATACTAGTTTATATTGATCATTGTCCTGATTCACAAATCAAAATTCAAAAATCAGATGTAATATAGTATGATTATTGGTGTGCATTTTTTTGTTCCATATGTATAGTTGTTTCTAGTAATCTGATTGATTTATATAATTCATATACAAATGACAAAAATTTTAGTATACAGTACATACAGTTATACATGTTGGCAAAACTAAAAATTTCAAAATCTCACCAAATTCCAAATATAATAAAATTGTCCCAAATCCCATCCCAAATATAATAAAATTCGTCCCAAATCCAAATCCCAATAGTTTTGCCAGCAAGCATACATACAGTACTGTACATATTATACTGTACGTGTAACATCACTAAACATGATCAGAAAATTCCAAAACAACTGTTCGTTTTGTCAAAAATCACCTATTCCTCAAGAATCGGTATAAGAACTAGGGGCCTGCAAATTGCCTATTTTTAAGGCCCGGCCCGGCCCGCAATTAGGGTTAAAAATTTTTTTTAGGCCCGGCCCGGCCCGCATTTAGGGTTACTATTTTTTTGCCGGCCTGGCCCGGCCCGCATATGTTAAATTTTTTCTTCAGCCCGGCCCGACCCGGCCCGGCCCGCAAAAATTTCTTATATAATTTTACAAATTTTCAGGCCCGCAATTATAAAGTTTTGCAAATTTTTCGGCCCGGCCTGGCCCGCAATTATAAAATTTTGCTTCAGGCCCGGCCCGGCCTACAAAAATTTGCGGGCCGGGCCGGGCCGGGCTGCGGGACCCAACGCAGGCCTCTAATAAGAACCCACTTTTAGTGCTCTAACAAAAAGTTCTAAAGTGATTTTACAATCTAACCACCTAATCTCTATCTTCATTATAGACTGTAACTCCAATATTAATTAATTATAAAGTATTTTAAAGTTTTTACTGCGACACAATGATCGACATAACCTGGCACAGAAAGTTTGGGTCACACGATTGATCATGTGTGCAAAATTTTTAATATGGAGTTATGTAAAATTTTGCTTTTAATACATATTTAACAATAAAGAAGTTATCAGTTTAATTTTTCATAAACTCTTTAACTTCTGACGATTCTTGTGAAATTTTGAGGGTGGTTAAAAATAATATGTAGAAAGTTCATGATCACGAAGTTGACCGATTTTTTTACGATTTTTACCGTTGGTTTATAAGTAGTGTATATCATTTATCCAAATAAGTAATAAGTAAACATCAATTAAAAAAATTTAGTACATAGTGATAGCGATTCCCAATTACTTATTTTGTCGAATGTTAAAGCCAATATCACGAATACAATTTATGCAGTATGTAGATCATTATTATGAGTGTACACGTTCCCCTTATTATGGAATAAATACTTAAAATTTCATAATATATGCTAAAGAAATGATACCCAGAAATTAAACTGACAGCTTCTTGATTTTAAAATATACCTTAAAAGCAAAAATATCCCAAATTCTACATATAAAATTTAGGTGCGTCAGTAAGTTGACTCTATATTAAAATTTTTGCATGTGACAAATTGTGCGCCTGATAATAAATTATTTGTTTACGTAACAAATGCATTTAATTAGAATAGTAAAAGGTTGTGACTTTGTTTGCAGCAAATAGACATGTTTTAAAAAAAATTTAAAGCCCGTCATTTATTTAATCGAATTTTTTAAAAAAAATTTATTTCACTTACCTAATAAAAATGTCTAATTCTAATAAAGAAAACAAAACCTATAATAGAAGTATTTATAATAGATATAAAAATTATCATGAATTAGATGTAAATGAAGTATCTTCAATATTATTGGATCAGCATAAAATAATTGGCGGAAGAAAATTCTTAAATAATCATGAAGCGAATTACCTCATGCCATCAGATGAAATAGAGGTTAAACGAATGGAGGTCGTTCATGTGTTATGCAGATATGCGTGGAAAGGTAATTTTAATGCACCAGTTGAGGAAACGCTAAGAAATGTTAAAGCTACCGTTCTCGATGCGGGGTACGTAAAGTCACAAATTCAAAGCAATCCACTATATGGACAATTGAAAAGTAGACTAGAACTTATTATTCCATTTACTTGGTAGATGCGGTGCTGGTTGTTGGATTCTTGATTTGGGAAACGAGTTCCCAAATTCTACATTTGTAGGCATAGACATTCAATCAAGTGCATTTCCATCAGTGAATGAACGCTCATCCAATACAGGATTTCTAGTACATAACTTAATAACCGGAGTCCCATTCCCTGATGAAACATTTGACTACGTTCATATGCAGGTAATGTGGTCAGCACTCACTAAGCAACAATACATAAATGTAATTCATGAATTAGTACGTGTAACGAAATGCAATGGATGGATTGAAATTATGGAACCTAATATGGAAATGAAAAACTTAGGAAATTCTATGAAAGCAGTTCAAAATGCTTGTAAGTTACATAAATATCATAAAGCTATAATTTACTTAAATAATTAATTACATTATATTATAGTTCACAAAAAGTTAAAGGAAAATGGATTTGATCCCATGATATTTTTAGAGGTCTCTAAATGTTTTGAATCAATCAATGAACTAACTAATATTGAACACATGCAATTGAATATGTCATTGGGTGGATGGGCAGGAAGATATTATGAATATGTAAGCTTTAGCATTTACATTATATGTTTTTAAAATTAAAATTATCTTGCGTTGTCTAATTAAATTATTATTAGATATTAGATGGTGTTAAACAAATTTATAAATCTATTACTTATCTACCAGATTATATGGGAATATCTCAAAATGATTATCAAAAATTAATAGACGATTTCGATAGACAATGTAATCAAAATCATTCCTACTTAGAAACACATAGGATTTTTGCTAAAAAAGTTAAACATCACTGTTGCTGAAGCAAGCGTGGCATGCCACTGACGAGTCATCAAATTACTATAAATTAATCCCCGATCGATATATCAAATCACGGAGGGATTAATTAATAATACCCTGGTCTGTATGTGAATTAGCGAAATGAAGTTTTCGCTAATTCCCAACGGATCAGGATATTATTATCACTAATTGATAGCACATCACCAAAATGTGCTTACACCAACAATCCTACTATAAATATTTTAACATAATAGATTTTAAACATTTTTTCTTCACAATACAAGCATTTTTACGTGACTTGAGGAAATCTCGTTTTTGGAAAGCTCTTTTGATTAAAATTTTGGTTGACTAAAAATATATAATATACTAATACATATGCTTTGTAAAATTTGCATTACTTAATTAACGATTTAATTGGTTTTAAAATATATCCAATAATATGATTACTTTAACATGTTAAAAAAAAACTACATAATGGCATCTGTATATTTCACATCACTTCTCATAATTTTGTATGGATAATATTACCCCTGTTACCCTCTGTAGCCTGTAAATTAGCATTAAGTTTTTCGACAGATCACTTAACTAAATTGTTTACACTCGATTTACGGATACTCATTTACTTATTTTTCCTGTAGCATAAACTATCTATGGAATAAATAGACATACTCTCTAGTAATGGGAATTCCGTTTATTATATAATTTTTTGGGAGAGGGAATCTATGAATGACGGCTGATTTTATGATCTAGATCTTTTAATAAAAAGATATTACGAAATAAATAGCACACTCCTAACAGCGACAAGAAAAAAAAAGCTATTTATATTATATTATGACTAATCAGAATTGTGAGGCCCCATGCAGTGTATCTACTCTGTGGTCTTTTATCAAGCCAATTTTTGCTTGAAATAAGGGTCATTTGCTAGGAAAATCACTGTTTGACACTTGTTATTAGCAACGATTTTTCTGGCAAATGACTCATAAAAGTACATTAACCATCCAGTAAAGCTATTATTATTATTATCTTAATATTTATAAGAAAATTTTTAAAATTATAATCAGGCTTTAAGACTTTGATAGATTTATAGATTACGGTTTTTGGGTAAACGTTTTACTTAATGCTCGAGCAACAATTATTTTAGTATTATCTTTTACAATTTCATTCATTTCTTATATTTATAAGTAACAATTTAAATCAAGATCATGATCTTGTTAATTGGCGTAAACGATGGATCCCTTAATCATAGCAAATCATAGAAGCACAAAAATTTAACATCCTCATTGGATAACTTGTGATTAAGTGAGGCGGTATTGTCACGAACTAAAAGTGATTTCAGAAAATCATGAAAAACCATGCTTCGATGATAAATTCTCGAATGACGCATGAGGCTTGTCAGCTAAAGTTTATTGCGAAAGATAAGTCCACCGAAAAGCATTTCTATTAGTCCATTAAATTTATTTAAAGAAAAATAGTTTGAGTGTGGTTGGTTTTACAACACTTATGGCAATATGAGGACACATAATAAATAACTTACCGATATTAATTCCTTATCAGGCGTAATAGCGGCAGATATTTCAGCGAGAACTAGTAAGCAATAATTCAATTTAAAACGTTTAACCGAGAAATAACGTCTTAAAACAACAAATACAGCTACAAATAATCTAGCAATAACACAGATGATAACGATCATACAAATATGAGTGCAAAGATATGACCAAGAAAAAGATACACTAATGGGCAACCTTATTCATCTATTACCAGATTTCATCCCACATGACAAAGTTCGTGTCGTGGGTAAACTAGCCCAAGTCTTAGTTTGTAGAATCATATGTAATACATTTGTAAATTGTAATGTACCAACAAATCAATAATCAATAAAAACTCAGGCAATATCTCGCTTTCAGGAAAAAAAAATAAATAAAATAAATAAATAAGAAATAGCGTATTGAAGTTAATGCTTCTAAGAAATGAGTGAAGAAAAGGAAAAACCTGTAAATAACTTCACTCAATAAGTGAAATGATTTACAGGTTTTCCCTTTTCATCACTCAAATAGCATACCAGATATTAATGTTAATGCTTCCTAAATCTCCTCGTATAATCTAAAACAGTTATGTAACTGACCTACATTCAATGTTTATACTTATTTCACTAATACAAATAATACCAAAATGCTATTGAAAATCTACGTTCTAAAACTATCAATTTTTGTGTGAATAATTTGGATTTATATTATTACAGATGCAGTTGTCTTACACGTAACCAAGCAATGAATACTGCATTCTATTATCAATTCTTTAATATTTGAAATATACTAAATAAAATAGTCACATTATCTCATCCGTTACATTATTTGTGCTCATAAACAATTCATCAAATTATTCACAGTAAAAATATTTTTGGTTTAAATTTTATTTAATGGCCGTTTGAATTTAAAAATTCGTTTAACGTCCCCCTCCCCCCTACCGCTGGAGCCCCCCTTGTCATTAAACAATAATAAGAGTAGCCAATAAAAAACGAGTATAAAAATATACGTATATATGTTCTGCAGGTGGCGTATATTTAATGCATAATTAGTAATAGCTGTTTCACTAAATTTCTATATGAACATTACAGTACTTCTTCGTGGGAGCAAAGATGTAAAACATTTTGAAATTTATGCAATATGAAATTAAATACTATTGTGTACCTAAATGTTAAAAGCAATGATAATATCTCGGTGTATACAATCGAATTGCATGGAATAATAGCAAAAGTGGGCACCATCAAAAAAAATATAACCTATTAAGTACTATGTGCTTTGGTCATGCTACATTATTTTCATGTGGTCCATTACTTTTAAAATTGATGTGTTGGGAAAATGGAAGTATTTAGTTATAAGTCAGATGGTGAGAATGTGTATATTTATTATGGTAGTTGTTAGAATATAGTAATCAAATGTAGTATGTGATGTAAATTATGTTATTCAGTAATTGGCATTAAAATCAAAATAATGAAAATTTGGATTGTTATTCCTCTATATCACTTTTGAAATTTTGAAAATCAGTTATATTAGATAAATTATAGAAATGATTTTCTTTTTATAACTGTAGTAAGAGAAAGTAAGAGAATTATTTCAGCTGCACTATTTGAAGTTGATGAAAGTTTTATCTTTGAACATTTACTTTGTCAAGCAAATAGTGATTATGTTTCTGAAAAGATTGTTAAAGTTGATGTTCAACCAAAAGATATGAATACATGGCACAAAGTAGTATCTGGCATAGATGCAAGTTTAAAAATATGTATACGAAAAGAACAAAATATATCACATATTTGGTTCACTGTTCAGAATGAACAGTTAGTATTTTCTTTAAGTCAAATTCTTTCAACATCTAATGTTTTTAATGAAATAATGAATTCAGTAATCAAAAAAATTTTATCAAATTTAAAACTAATAATGAATCATAATGACTGATTATATAATGATCTTTTGGCACTTTTAGATAGTAACAATCTTGGTTGGAAATATAGTACACATAATTCTGTTAGTAAATCATTTGTCAATCAACTTGTATCTTTTCTTTATTATTTAGATAATAAGTATATAACTCTTAAGCTTTGTAGTCTTAAAATACTATTAATTTTTCTTCAATTACTATTATATTAGCAAAATTCATATTATAAACATGATTCATATTACAAAACTACTTTAAATCATAAAGAATTAGATTTTATGCTAATAAATTAGAAGAATATATTTTAGAAACATGAGCAAATAAAACTTGTTGGAATCAATTTATAATCTCAATTTTGAAATTATGTTCAGTAGCTTGTGTATATACTAATTATTTAAAAACTATAAATTAGCAAATACAAAAGATTCAATCTGCATCTTTGTTAGCTCGAAGTCCTAAAAATAATAATACACTTGAAAATGTGATTATCATATTTATTTAATGATATTCAAAAGATATATTTACTAATTGCTGAACAAATTAGAGTAACTGATGAATATAAAATTATATCATTTGAAAATTTTTTTTCTGAAACAAAAAAAAAAGGATTTTTATATCTATCAAATCTTTGTGTTGATTTAACTATTATATTATATCAATATTATCATAGAAACTATCTAGAAATATTAAATTTTATTTGGAAAATTCTTAAAAATATTGAGTTATATAATAATACAAAAAATACACAAACAATAATTAAAACACAACCAATATTACCTCAATTTTTTATTCGATATATGAAAAGATATATATTTATAAAGATATTGTAATTTATTATTAATATTAAGTATTATAATAAATATTAAAAAATACTAATACTTAATTATATATAGTATTTATTAATTACAAAAATTATTCTAGATGTATTACATCATTTATATTATGATTTAACAGATAATTCTAATATCTTTAATAATTATTATTCTGAACATGTTAATCAAAAAATAAAAATGTTATTTGAACTTAGTGATTCTAAAATGATTGTAGATTTATACAAAAATAATGGATTTAAAGAAACCAAATTTGATGAATTTTGGGATGAAATAGTATATTATTTTGAAAAAATTTTTTATCAATACATGAAAAATATTATAGTAATATAGTTTATTTGCCTAGTTTTATTTCTATTCATGATCTAAGAGAGTTTATTATTGAATATTTAGAAAATAAATGTAATGAATTTTCATTTTTAGATAATTGTTTAATACCATCTGACTGATAGATTTCTTATTAATTTTATTTAAAAAATCTCTGGTATAAAGTAAGTATACAATATATAAGATATTTTTAAATTAAATATATAATTCAAATTTGGCAAATAAGAATATTACATATATATATGCATTATTGTCAAGTGATTTTTAAATATATTTATTATTTTGTATTGAAGTATAAAAAATTTACTTGTCTTATTTTTATTGATGATAAGCATAAGGTACCAATTGGTAAAGAAATACTAACAAGTACTAGAGTTCATAATAAAAAAATAGTTGTACTACCACAAATAAAACTTCCTGCATCTGATTATAATTTTATAAAGATTTCAATAACTTCTTCAATATTACTATTTGTTAATATTCCAAAAGATCCTGTTCAATTATTTTATTCTAGATAAGTTTATATTACACTAAAGAATACAACTTTTTAGGTCATTTCAGCTCTTAGACATGTTACAGAATTTTATAATTCAATAGAACAACTATTCTAATACTAATTCTTTGCCAAAATTTGTTATTATTTATACAGATAAAGGTCCTGATCATTATTATAATTTCAGATCCATTCAAATTTCAGTTATATTATTTTTTTTAGATAGTGATTTTGATTTGGTTATTGCTACATATACTACATCTTATCATAGTTGGACAAATCCTGCTAAGCAAATAATGTCTATTCTAAATTTTGGCTTTTAAGATATTACCCTTTAACATGAACAAATGTCTGATGAATCTGAATCTTTTTTTTATAAATTATAAACATTAGATATAATTCACTATGAAGCAAAAAAAAATTCTATTTTAAAATATGAATTACTTGCTTCTATTAACAAAATATAAATTATTTTATTTAATTATATAAGACAATTAAAGTTATATGATAATTATTTTGAAACCAATAACCTTGTATTAGAAGAAGATATTAATTCTTTTTTTGAAATAATTTATTTATTTATTATTTAATTATTTAATATTTAAAATTAATCTCTATATTATTAAAGATAATGACTTAAATTGATCCAGAATTTGATAAATTGATAACAACAATAAATCAATTACAAAAACAAACTTTATATTTAAATTTTATAAAAAACCATTGCCATATTAGAAATTATATGTTTTAGATATTATTAGTAATATATATATTATAATCTAATTATTAGTTTATTAACCTAATTTATTAATTATAAGATAATAAAATATAATAAATTTGATTACAAAACATGCAAAAAAATTCATATACCATATGATAATTTTCAAAGTTTATCATTTATTCCAGTTTCTAAACTATTAGAAAATAATAAGTCTAAAATTTAAATTTATAATATAAAATATAATTATTTAGTTTATTCAATTTTTATTAAATAACAACTATTATAAAGAATTTGATAATATCTATGGCCAACCAATCTCAGAAAAATTTTATCTATTAGTAATAAATATTTCTTTTAGTAAAAACCTAAATAAAAAAAAATTAAAACTATTTATTAATACAAAAATTAAATATGTAGTGTCATGTGAACATTGTAACAAGATATAATGTATATATAGTAATTCTGCTTTAACAGATAATAAGGAAATTCAACTTCAAACTACTTTTGATGATTTATATTATATATGTAGATCACAATTGCTACCTGAAGATCATGAACTTTCAAAGCATTTAAGTATTAGATTAAATATTATTTGTGATTCTCTTATTGAGTCAACATATTTTTCATGCCATCTTAAAAAAATATTGATGTAGAGAATTAGAGGATCTTATAGAGTCTTCAGATAAATTAAAAGCTGAATGGAAAAATATATATCCTCTATATGCATTTTGTAAAGAAAATGAAAAAACATGGTATAAAAGAACATAAAAAAAATTTTATTCAATTAAGTAGTAATGATGTTAAAGAAAATACTAGTGTTACAAATAAAAAAAGAAAAGCATAATGTATAAATAATTACTATAATTTGAAATAAACTAAATTGATTATATTTGAATAAGCAACAAAATTAGATCAATTAAAAATATTTTTTTGTTTAAAACAAACCTAAATTAGGTACAATTTGAACCTAATTTGGACCTAATTTAGGTTCTTTTAATTTTTATGTTTATTTAATTTTCCCTTCCTCCCTCTAAGCAAATATTAAAAAAAGAACATTAAACAAATCTTTAAATTCAAACGGCCTAACCAAAAAAAATTAAATTTTTTCATAAACTATTACAAACCCATTATATTTTGGATCTTATTGTTTTTATTTAAAAAACCTAACATATGCAATTGTTTTTAGATTAAGTTTAATACGAGTTATTAATTAGTAATTTAAATGAAAATTAATGTTAATTCTGAATGCATATAATTTACTAATATACAGCATTGAGTATGTTTGCTTAATCATATCTAATCAAAAAAAATACATAATGACTTATAATTATAAATAGATAAGACCAATTATGGTTGAAATCTTATTTTATTTAAAACTCCAACACATACAATCGTCTTTAGGTTAAACTAATTACACGCTATTATGATAATGGTACATTCTAAAAAAAAAGATTAAAAATTTAATTATATATCTATAAGCCAATTACATAATTAATTCAGACAAACTTTTACTTGCTCATGTAATTTTTTTAGACAAATACATTTGGTATTATGTGGATGTTGCTCTTTTTATAATAAATTAGAACGTCTACATTTATTATTTCTTCATTTTGCAATTAATTCTAATGCCAGTTAATAACATTAAAACTGACGTTCTTGCGAATCGAGTTAAGTTACTCAAGACAGTAAATTAGCCAATCACATGAATGCATTCCTGGAACAAACAACTGGGACCTCCTGCATTTGGGACTTTGTCTGAGATAGTCCTGAAAAGTCCGTGTGAAGTCGACTCAAGGACTAGATCCAACAAGCTTTTTAACAGCCCTACACGCGGGCACAAAAGAATCAAAAACGGAAATGATTCACGATTCGTGAGCAAAAAAAGATTAAAGAGGGTTAATGTTATGATTGCAGCACCTTGCATAATTTTGACTAATTAGTATTTGAATGCCCCAAGGACTTACGTCATTTCTTAAATCAAATTAGCGTGAAAGATTTATACTCCGTAAATTTCAATATCTGGAAATTTCAATTTAACCACGTAGCTAGTGAAGAATACTATGCAGATTGGTCCCTTAAAATTATTTATGTATTCATTCTTTGATAGCAAGACTAATTCAAATGACAATAGAATAATGTACTAAAAATATATGTGATACTAGAATTACTATGGATGTAAATTGAAACAAGTTTCTTATTCAAAATAAAATCGCAAAATCGATATTTACCATTTTGGTTAAAAGCAGGCATTTGTATAAAGATGACTTAAGGAATACTTGTATAAATTTATTTTACAAGACTAAAACGCATTGCACTAAATGTTTCAAATTTTGAATAATTCGAACTTTGAACAATTTATCTCGCAATGTTATTCATAGTTCAATTATTGGTATACATGTATCGCCGAAAATTTTTGTTATAAATAATCGACATTTTACAAGAATGAACCTACAAGATTCGTTTTCTCCTGAAAGGTAAAATATTAAGCACAAAGAAAAAACAGTAAGTAAATCTATTTAAAAAAAATAGACATTTGATTATTTTAGCATATATATCTATGTAATTTTTTTTTAATCATAGAGATGCGCTATTTTTTGGCCTTCATTCTGTTATCTCTTACTATCGAAATCGTATTTGCTGGTCAAGGAT